TTTTCTCTGACCACTGTCCTCCAAATCTAGTTGATATTTCCCTACTGTGTACCCAGATAGCAGCACTGTATAGGTGTCTCTAGTAGAGTAATAGATTGTGGTGGTTCATTTACTTGTCTGCTCACCCTTTAGACTTTGAGCTTCTTGCGAGTATCTTACTCATCTATATATTCTATGTACCCTTAAACAAGCAGGTGTATAGTAGGCACTGTATAAATGTGTGGTGAAAGAATGAAGGAATTAAAGAAGGAAGAAATGAAATATAGACTCTACTTTTTGCCATCTGAGTTTTTTTGTTGCTGTGGTTCAGATTCTAGAAGAAATGTTAAACGTAATATTTGGGATTGTTGTTTTAATGGACACGGTAAACTTTATTATATTATTTAATCATATTTCAAAGAATCACAGGAACATTTGAAGTCAAGAAATTTAAAATAAAAAATAAGACATCCTTCTACTCTTGATGATTCATTGAATTGCCCTCCTGGAGACCAGAAATCATAGATACCAACTCCTCTCTTTGATCTTTGAAGGGAAAACTTTGCTCTCTATGGAACAGAGAGAGAGCTAGAGGTATTATTACCTATGATGAGAAAAGTAAATGATCAGGCACCTTCCATGTCTGACTTTCATTCTTCCTTTGTTGTCTCCATGGCTCATTTCAAGCTGTTCTCTGAGAGACCTGCCCCCTAAGACCACATACTCTGTTCTCCTTTGCCCTTTGTTGTCTCACATTTCAAACTCTGCCCACCCCCCATTTTTTGCATTTACTTTTCTCTGTCTAGTGAAATTCCCACAAGTAAAGGAATGTTCTTTCATATATATATATATATAGAATATCCCTACAGAGTAGCTAGATAAAACTATAAACCTACGTAATGATATATTAAGCAAAGGATCTGTCTTTACAAAAGAAGAATGACTGGTCAGACAGTTACTAGTACAGCTGAAAATCGAAACATTGTATTAAAGGAGACAGTCAATACCTGTTCTAAATCAGATTGATGAAAAAGGGTTAAAAATTCTATATGAATTTTTCTGAAAATATTATTTATGTACCTTTTGGGGACTGGTGGTTTAACAAATGAATATTAGGTTCCTCTGGTTTGCCCAGCACTGTGGTAAGCACCAGAAGAGATAAAAATTGAGTGGAATATATGAAGGTCCAGGAGATGATCAGTGAAAAAGAAAATATCACATATAAACAACTACTAGGTTGTGTGGTGTATACTAATGTCTACAGGAATTCAGAGAGCAAAAAGAGCAACGTTCTCTGGGATTAGTTGAGGGAAGCAATGCAGAGAGACTGGATCATAGTTAAGTTTGTCACGGAGTGGTATGAAGCAGAAAAGATGTCATACTGACTTCCTTCTACATTCTCTCTCTCTCTTTTTTTTTTAATATTTTTTTCACATACTCTTAATTGCCCAGTTCTTTCATCCTCTGGAAACCCTGGTTGCATAATGGTTAAGGGCTGTGGCTGCTAACCAAAAGGTTAGCTGTTCAAATCCACCAGGAGCCCCTTGGAAACTCTTATGTGGCAGTTCTACTCTGTCCTATAGGGTCGCTATGAGTCAGAGTTGACTTGATGGCAATGAGTTTTGGTTTTTCATCTTCTATTCTTCATTTCTTATTTTGCTATCTCTTTCTGTTTCCATTTAACAGCCCCATTCAAGGCTTTATTTCCTCAGCTGAGACTCTTCAGTGCCCTCATAACTGTCTCTGTTTCTAGAAACATATATCCACTCGAGTCATCTTGCTAAAGCAGACCTTTTATCACACTTTAAAATCTTTGTGAGGTAGAGGAATTTGCATTTATTGTGTATCTGAGGACATGCAGGAGCTTTACATTGTTCTCTCTTCTTTGCTTGGCCTTCAGAGGCTTAGCCATATTCTGATATCAGGGGAATCAGCCTGCTGCACAGCTGTGGTGTTGGCTGGCAAGAAAACTGACTCCTGGGGGACTGGGTACATGAAAATCAGTTCCACTTTGGATTTTTTCCTGCAGTGGTTCGTATGCTGACCAATGATATTTTACACTGCTTCTACTTAACATTTTTCATTTAAATTAACCATCGTTTTAACATATTAACTAAAAGTTGTTGTAAAGGCTCACTTCTGGAGAGTATGCTCAGGGGACAGTAGGAGTCAGGGAACAGCTGTTCTTCCTGATCGCCTCACATCCCCAACCCCGTCTCCCAAGCCACGTTTCCTCAGGCATCAAGAAGTGTTTTAAGAGTGAGTGGGAAGGGAAGGATGGAAGGAGGGAGGAAAAAAAAAAAAAAAGAGAGAGAGGGAGTGTGAAAAGGAGGGAGGTAAGGAGTGCTATAGGAGAATAGAGAATGAAAGGACTAGCTCTGCCTGAGGGTGGGAACACAGAAAAGATTTCACAGAAATGATGATATTTGGGTTGAGTCTTGAAGAATGGATAAGAATTGGGTAGAAGGAAGAACTTTACCAAAGAGAGTAGCTTTGTGAAGAGGCATGCAGCGTGTAAAGAACAACTAGAATTACCTGATGTAATTAGAGAGTAGAATAGTAGATTAGAGGAGTGGGAAGAAAGGGGATTGAGGGTGACAGGAAAGGAGCCATACTGGGGTCAGAATGTAAGCCGTGTTATAGAGTTGAACTTTAGAGACAATAACAAAACAGAAAACTCTCACTCTGACAGATGTAGCAAACCTTGTTGAGGAAGTCTTCGTTCAGCTTGGGACTTGTTTTTGGTGATAAAGTGAAGTAGCATTGGAAAGACTGGGAGTAAATGCAGAGCTTCTTTGTGAATCATGTTCAGGAAAATAAAGGATTAGAATAATGGAATTATTTGTGGGTGTTAGAGACTTGGGAAAGTCAAAGTTTCTTCAGTCATTTATGTCTTATGAGGTAGGTTAATGGCTGAATCTTCAAAAAAAAAAAAAAACCTGCATTGAACAGAAGGCTATTATTATTATGGTAGAAATGATCTTTCATCAGTTAAAACAACTATAGTGATGGGTGATAAAGACAAAATTGCCACTGAAATTAAGACTTAGAGAGTTTCAGTATCTTTGTAAAAGCATTGGAGTCCATGCATGTGAAGTATTTTCATGTCTGTAAAAAAAAATGTGTTTATGTTAAATAAAAATGATTCAAATTTTGGTTTTAATGGTACTAACTTGCATTTTTTACCAATTAAAATTGGCTCCTGAGGCACAATATCTTGGAATATGAGATCGTTATATAATGCTCAGTATAGATACCAGAAATGTTGTGCTTTGCTTTTAATACCCTTATACTCATGAAGTAACACTTTTATGTTTGAACATGTGTTTCAGAAGCAGCGGGTATTAGTTTTTAGTCCTGAGGGCATTACTCCTTATCCCTTCAGCTGTGCCACACCCACCCACATACAAACACACCAGGTGCAACACTACACATACTCACATCTGTACACATGCATGTATTAGTGGGTTAGCCTGACAGAGAATTTAGTTACTGTGCTTGTTAACAGATATTGGAAAACACCTTACAGGATGTCTAACGAGTCTCCATAACCTGCAATGAATCAGGTGTAAGTAATCCTCTTTGAAGTTAGAGAAGGGGTTAGATAGATTACCTTTAAGAGGTGTCTTTAGCAATAATTCTAAGGTGTTGCCATCCTGAGTTAATGGCTTCTGTGAGGCAGTGCTTATAGAAGCACCAACATGCTAACTTCCACATCAGTAATAGACTGCCTAACTTAGTCACTCTCCAGACAGAAATAAAAGTGGGGAGGGGAAATAGTTCTATGAGACATTTGGGAGTTCTTGTTTTATAAGTAGCTATTTTATTTGTCCTAGATAAATTATCTTCTTTGTGCCAAAGTACATTAGACTTCATCACTACTATAAAGTACCTGTAATTAATAAAGGACAAAAGTATGCCACTAGAATAGACATAAACAGAATGCCATTACATAAAATGACAAAGCAAATGGTAATAGGATGTGTATAAAATTGTTTTCTTTAAGAAAAGACATATTTAAGTGCCCATCATTGGATGAATGAATATACAAAATATGGTATGTACTTACAGTGGAATACTCTGCAGCCGTAAAGAATAATGATGAGTTCTCAAAATATATTACAATGTGGATTAATCTGCAGGACATCATGTTGAGTGAAATAAGTCAATTACAAAAGGACAAATACTGTATGATCTCACTATTATAAAAAGATTAGGTATACAGTGTTCACTGGTGGTCACCAGGGATAGATGTGTGGGGGAAAGGATCTCTCCCTATATAGTAGACACTTGTTATTTTTGGTGATGAGAAAGGTAACACCAAATGTGAGTGAAGTGTATACAGCTTGATCAAGGTAAATGATGTCACTAGAAAGTACACAAGAAAAAAGAAAAAACATTTATAATTGCATTTAATCATTACCTTTTTTAATGTATTTGTCACACTAGCATGACTTATTTTAACAAAACAAACTCAGTTTTTCTGGCTTTGACTGTTTATGTACTGCTACTTGCATTAAATAAGAACACATTTAGAATGCTTATTTTTTTACCTATTTTCAGGTAAATAGCAGATACTGAGCAGCTTTAATAAAAATCTAGTAATTTTTGAAGGGAGGTATTTCCTCTGCAGTTGTGACATTACTAGGGTAGGAATAATTTTTAATTTCTGTAAACAGATTTCTTTTAATTTCATCTAAAGTCTTATTGTGACTTTAACAGCACTTTTTAAGGTATAATTACCGTGCTGCTCATATTTATCTTAAAAAGAGGTCAGTTTCTCTTTTTGGTATATTTTATGGTTCTACTCATTTCAGTGACATCTTCAAAGACTAGTCTGACCAGCACTGGAGTATTTTTGCTACTAGCTTCCTATACTTCCTTTTTCTTTTAGCTGAAGAGTCACGGCTGAGACATTCTAGGTGTTTCCCTGTGTTAACCAAGTGATTTCTAGAGGATCAGGTTGGTGAACAGGGGGTAGCAAGTTTGGTATTTTGCTGAATCTGTGACTGTTTGTCTAGGAATGCCGACGTGGAGATGACTCTAGAGCGAGCAGTGAGTATGCTTGATGCAGATCACATGCCCCCATCCAGGATTTCTGCCGCAGCTACTTTCATACAGCACGAGTGCTTCCAGAAATCTGAAGCGCGGAAAAGGGTGAGTGATCTTAGGACCAGTGCAAAAACCACCATGCTTTCACATCTGATAAGGTGGCCCTGCAGACTGAAACTACGCATTTATTTAAATTTTTAAATATTTTCATTGAAGTTTTTTTTATTTTTATATGATCAATGCCATAACAAAATTTCTGGCAACTCAGAAACTTAGAAAGTAAGTTATCCCTTTTCTTGCCTTCCCAGTCTCTCTCTGTATTTCCAGATTTTTCAGAGAGAAAGAGGGAAAGAATATGTGTGTATGTCAGGCTATTGTTTTGTATATTTTAAAAAGATATTAAATATAAGCAAAATTTTTTTTAACTTTTTTAATTTAACATACATTTTCATTGTTTTCAATTTTTCATATGGTAATGATTGTTAAGTGAGTAGCCTTGTATATGTATCTTTCTGCACTTGCACAAGTGTTCCTGTAGGACCCCCCCCCCAAAAAAAAAAACCTACTGCCGTCAAGTCAATTCCAACTTAAACCTACCCAGTAAGACAGAGTAGAACTGCCCCATAGGGTTTTCAAGGCTATAAATCTTTATGGAAGCAGACTACCACATCATTCTCCCACGGAGTGGCTGGTGGGTTCCAACCACCAGCCTTTCAGTTAGCAGTTTAGTGCTTTAACCATTGTGCCACCAGGACTCCTTCCTGTAGGACAGATCCTCAAAAATGGAATTATGGGTCATTTTATGTTTGTTTTCAAAACATAAAATGTGGGGGGAAGGTCATATAATTGAAAAAGGCATGAATGAAAAATAAGTTTTTCTCTTATTCCAAACCCTAGTCTCCTTTTTTGGGGAAGTCTTTCAATTTGGGGGTATCTTTCAGAGATATTCTATACATGTAGAAGTGCTTGTTGGATGGGTTGATCGTATATACATTTTTGTCTTAAAAAATCAAAAATGGTTGCATATTATTCATTGTATTCTTTATATTTTTCAGTTAACAATATATCTTAGAAATTTTCATTATCTGTTAGCCCTACCTCATTCTTTACAATTGCTGGATAGATTTCTGTTGTCTAGATGTACATAACTAGTTTTCATAACTGACTAATTGACAATTTGACAAAGTTTTTACATATGTAAAACCTTCATCAAAATCAAGATAATGAATATATCCATCACCTCCAAAAGCTTTCTTTTGCCTGTTTGTAATCTATAAATCCTGCCCCTCCCAGTCCACTCCCAATCTGCAGCAACCAGTGATCTACTTTGTCACCATAAATTAGTTTGAATTTTCTAGAATCTTTTATAAATGGGATTATACAGTATATACTCCATTTTTGTCTAGTTTCTTCTACTTGGCGTAATTATTTTGAGAATCATCCTTGTTGTGTGTATTAAAAGTTTGTTGTTGTTGTTTCCATTTTTTTGAGTAGTATTCCGTTGTATAGATATGCCCACAATTTTTTTATCCATTTACCTGCTGATGAACATTTGAGTCGTTTCAAGGTTTTGTCTATTGTGAATAAAGCTGCTGTAGGTATTTGTGTACAAGTCTGTGTGGACATATGCTTTCATTTCTCTTGGGTAAGTAGTAACTAGGGGTAAAATGCCTCCATGATATGGTAGGTGTGTAAAACCAAAAAAAACCAAACCCGTTGCCGTCAAGTCCTCAAGCTTTTTGAACGTAGAAAGACAGTTAAGATAGTTGTCTTAACGTCCTGCTCTGCTAATTCTAACATCTGTGTCCTTTCTGAGTCAGTTTTGATTGGTTGCTTTTTCTCCTCATTGTGGGTTGTATTTTCCTTCTTCTTTATATATCTGTTCATTTTTAATTGGATGCCATACATTGTGAAGTTTACATTGCTGGATGCTAAATATTTTTGTATTCTTAAAAATACTCTTGAGCTTTGTACTGGGATGTAGTTAAGTTACTTGCAAACAGTTTGATCCTTTCAGATTCTGCCTTTTAAATTTGTTAGGTGGGAACACAGCAGCATTTAGTCTAAAACTTATTAGTTCCCGCTATTCGGGCATCAGAATCGACTCAACGACAGTGGGTTTGGCTTTGTTGTTGTTGTACTAAGGCTTACTTTGGACATGTTATCAGGAGGTGCCGGTCCTTGGAGAAGGATATCATGCTTGGTAGAGTAGAGGGTCAACGAAAAAGAGGAAGATCCTCAAGGAGATGGATTGACAGTGGCTTCAACAATGGGCTCAAGCATAACAACGATTGTGATGATGGCAAAGGACTGAGCAGTGTTTTGTTCTGTTGTACTTGGGGTCGCTATGAGTCAGAACCGACTCAGTGATAAACCTAACAACACTAAGGCAAGACATTTCTGAGAACTCTACCCAATGCACCATGAGTTATGATTTTTTTTTTTTTTTTTTTATGGCTGTTTGGTGAGAATAGTATTGTTCCTGGTGGCCATTGGGAGCTGTTCTCTCAAATCCTTTTAGGTAGTTATTTCCCTGACCTCAAGCAGTTACCATGTTTTTATGCAAATAATGCATGCCTTTTATGTTTGTTTGCTAATCGCTCCCTTCCTTCCCCCAGGTAATCTCCTAAATGCTGCTACGCCAATTTATTTTTTACATGTTGCTGTAAAAAAAATTAGCATAGTACACTTTGTTTTCTATCTTTCTATCATTGCCTCATGTCCAATTGTAAAAAATTGCTCTTTAAGTATTTTGTCTAGTTTATTAGTCATTTCAGGCAGCAGGTAATTCTGTCCTTATTTCTGTTGAGTCGTTTTTAATTTTGACAGGTAACTCCCTGAGATCCTCCCAAAAACTGTGCAATTTTATATTCCCACCAACACTGTATCAAAGTGCTCATTTCCGTTCACCATTTTTAACACAAGATTTTATTTTGTTTGTTTGATTATGTTAATCTAACAAGCAAAAATAAATGGAATCTCACTATAATAGAAATTTTCTTATTTTTTGGAATCAAGACAAATACTTGATCAGGTAATCAAACAGAATTAAGAGGAAATCTTTTTAAAATTATATATGTTAATTTATAGAGTTCATCATCTTTACATAATCTATGTTCATTATGTATCATCTGCCATTTGTAGTTTAAGTTTCTTTAAAGTGGAATGAGCACTTAAGGACACTTGATGTCACATAAGTGCAAACTCCTAGATTTTTACATTTATCTTTACTCTTTTCTATTAATCTCATCCACAACCAATTACAGAGCATTTTTAATCATTTCACCTTTATCTACTCTTTCCAAAGCATTCAAATTTGTTTTCAGAGAAACAAAACTCTTCCCACAATTATATTTCATCCAGTTAAGAATGGGTAAAATATTACATAATTACAATAATAAGTACAGTTGGTCTAAGTACATTGGGAAACAAACCCAAGTTATTCTTTGTAACTTGATAACGTATAACTCAACAGGCAGAATTAGGAGTGCAGAGGGTAACCACAGACAGTAACCTGACATCCCTGATAGTACTTCGGGAATTAGTACGTTTCATAGATGAAAAAGAGAATGTGATTAATCCCACAAATCAATTGAGTAGAGATTAGACAAGAATTTCTACTGATTTTTTTCAGTTGCATGGCTTTAATTAACCATGCAGCTGGACATCTTTTGATAGGTTTTTTTGACATTGTGTTTCTCTGTCAGTTGCCAGTTTGTATCCATTGCCTATTTTTCCTCAAAGATGTGTCTGTCAATGACGTGTAGTTTTTGGTTCTTTACATATTAATGCATATAATTCCGTTGTTACATATGACAGATATTTTCTCCTGCTTTATTATTACGGTTGTTTTTGTTGACTGTGTTAATGGTATCTTTAATCATACAAGATTTTAAAATTTTTATGAAGTCAAACTTGTCAGTACTTTTCTTGGCATCTGTATTTTATTTTTTATGGCATCTGTATTTTAGATATTGTTTTTTGAAAATCTACCCCCACATTTAGACTTTTTAAAGTTATGTGATTAGTGAGTATTTTTCATTGCCCTTTGCTTATAGGTTTGTTCCATCGGAAGAATAGATAGGTATGTTTTAAAATAATATATTTAGCTAGTAACTGAACTTCTATAGGAGCCCTGGTGGCGCGGTGATACAGTGGTTAAGGGCTACAGCTGCTAACCAGAAGTTCAGCAGTTTGAGTACACCAGCCACCCCTTGGAAACCCTATGGGGCAGTTCTACTCTGTCCTGTAGGGTCGCTATGGGTCCCAATTGACTCCATGGCAATGTGTTTGGTTTTTTTGTTTTT